TAACTCGGGGTTAGGTTTAGTTGTTCAGGTGGTAACTCGGGGTTAGGTTTAGTTGTTCAGGTGGTAACTCGGGTTTAGGTTTAGTTGTTGAGGCGGTAACTCGGGGTTAGGGTTAGTTGTTGAGGTGGTAACTCGGGGTTAGGTTTAATTGTTCAGGTGGTAACTCGGGGTTAGGTTTAATTGTTCAGGTGGTAACTCGGGGTTAGGGTTAGTTGTTGAGGTGGTAACTCGGGGTTAGGTTTAATTGTTCAGGTGGTAACTCGGGGTTAGGTTTAGTTGTTGAGGTGGTAACTCGGGGTTAGGTTTAGTTGTTGAGGCAGTAACTCGGGGTTAGGTTTAGTTGTTGAGGTGGTAACTCGGGGTTAGGGTTAGTTGTTGAGGCGGTGTGGACTCACCGTTGGCGCACTGCTGCCTCCCTCCTCTCCACTCACAGCTGCTCTCTGCCCAGCAGCTCACACCGCGACCCTTCATCGGGCACTCTGCGGCCGTCTTGGCGAAGCCGCCCAGCGAGGCGTTGTAGTCCCGGTTGTAGTACGTGGACGTGCCGGTCACGGAGGGGCCGAAGCCTCCCATGGGGGGGTACCCGGACAGCAGGGTGGCGGTGCCCGCGGAACCCACGCCTACCACGGAGCGGCTCAGGATGTCGCTGATGCCGTGGGGCGTCCCCGGCTGCAGCTGGGCGTTCAGGCCCGGGTTGAGCTTGTAGAAAGAGTTGGGCACGGAGTACTGGCACACCGGCGCCTTCAGGTCTGAGGGGAACTGGTTCAGGCTGTTGTTGAAGAGGAAAGAGCCCTGGATGTTCGGATCCATGGAAGGCGATCAGGAACACATCCAGAAAAATCCGAGACCTCTGCAGACCGGAGCGAGAGATCAGCCAGCCGAAAGCGATGTCTAGATCTGGGCCCCACACACGACTCTGCGATTATTTAGGTCCACAAACTCTGTCAAAGTTACTAAGCCATGGACAGTTCTGCCTTCATCCACAGCTTGGCATGAGGTAGCTCCATGTCTGAAGTCTGGGTCGAGCCCTCCGGACACAAGGGTTTCAGTGATGCCCTACAGACACATGCCTCCAGCAGGCTCCCCCCTCAGAGATCATCATAAATAAGCAGAATCTGGAAGTGGAGTGGCACCTTGATAAAGATGGGCCACATTAGAATGCAGCCCCAGGATTGGTCGGGGTCTCGCAGCTTTAACACCGTTCTATTTGCTCCTCGCTGAGGGCCGAGCCTTTTATTGGACGGCTGCAGATTAATAGTTTTTTGAACAGGTGGAGTGGGAACTGGTAGGTTTTTTGATGGCCTGCCACGTCGGACCAAATGTGCTGCTGCTGCTGCTGGAATAAACAAAGGAGGAGAGGAGGAGGAAAAGAAAAGGGTTCCATCCTTTTTTCTGGTTGAATTTTTTTTCTCAGTACATTTATAGCTTTATCAATTTTACCATATAGATTCTTCTTCTCTTTTGTTTTGTGGAGCATGTTTTAGGAATGTACTGCCTACAGACTGCTGAGTCTGCAGCTGGATGTGTGACGTGAAGTTCAGCTGTCAGTTGTGAAACAAGCGTCTGCAAATCTGACTAAACACACAGTAACTGTACTTCATGTATTTCTTACATTCATTAATATATTTTCTACAAATGAATCTAAAATCTTTTACAGCTTGTTTGTTTTTAAATTTTTCTTCATGCGTTCCCGTTGTTTCTTTCTTCTTCTTTTTAAAAAAAATTATTTTATTTCCTGAAAAATCTGGCATCAAAATGAAACTTTAGCGATGATTTATTTTTGTTTTGACCCGAGGAGGGCAGACTGTAGAAACCACGGAACCAGACTTGTTTTAAGACTTTAAACCCATTTGAGTTGATTAATTTAAAAAGACAAATACAACATAAACAAAAAAAAAAGATAAAATAAATAATTCAAATGCAACTTTTGGAGGGCATTTTATTGAAATGAAAGAATGCATAACGCCCACTGCTTTTCACGCTGCAGTCATAAAGATTATAAATGATAAGATATACAGTATATAAGAAGTGATGGTGCCATAGCTGTTTTGATCCAATGATGACCAAATGTGATGTTGCAATATTTCACAGGATCTGTTAAGGCGAACTGTGCAGATACCAAAGCTAATTCAGTTATATTTGTCCTAACCTTGCTAACTGTACAAACAAACACGGATAAAGAGCTTATTTCTCTGTCGCTCAGTCAGCAATAATTAGCAACAACACACAGTATCACTCGTTTGTCTTTGTAAAAATTTCCATAAGAGCTTCTTTAAGTGTTACACACGCTGTAATAAAAAAAATACATTTACAAGAAGTACTGTATGTTTTCAAGAAATATGGTGAAACATAATGAAACCTGGTTATCAGCCTCTGTTGTACATAAACTTATATAAGTGGGAAATCACAGCAGTAGTGTGCACCTCTGTTGTTTTCCACACCTTATGTCAAAGCAGCCGCCAGTGTTGCGGTATGTTGCAACACAACATTTCTAGGAATTAAGTCCATACAGCACCTTAGACATCTCGCTTTTCCCATACACCATGCGATGCTGATGTTTTGACCCCACAAATGAATGCTGCAGTATTCTTTTCCTAATTTGCTTGTTAACAAGTCACTTTTTAAAATATATGCAGTTGGGTTTTTGTAGTTTCTTGCCCTCTGTCTAAAAAAAAGAAAAAAAAAGGGACTTTATGGTTTTTGTTGAGCTGATTCTGACAGAAAAAAAAAGCCAAAACAACACAGCAGTAATGTGTTTAGTTTTGGTGTGAAGATGAAAAATCTGGAAGCACAAACTGAAATGTTGGCTTTTCATTCCTATCAGTCAGTTGGGACATGTTAGAAATATATGTTGTAACACATCCACCCTTCTGACTGGGTTTCAGAATGTTAGGGGATGTTGTTAGGTTGTGTTACTCATGTTGCAGCATTGGTTCAAAGACAGAAAAGGAAATTTCCCACAGTGATGACTTCAGCTGGGCTTTCCTGCTCGCTCTGTCACATGATCAGGTCTCAGTCAACGAGGACATGCTTTCTCAACTCTCAAATCCTCCAGAGAATTCATTTATGCAAACTAGATTACACACTGAATTTACATGAAATGATAGTTCTCAGTGCTTTATTTCATTTACATGAATCTCTAAATTTTAACTTACAGGTGGGCAATCATGTATTTGTATGTTGGTGCATAATAGCATAATATAATAGTACATGAACTGTTGTAGAGATTAGAATGAAACTCGCTGAAAGTAATAATTGGATGTACGTCTACAGTTAAATGAACTTTTGGAGAGAACCTGATTCAAGATGGCCGTCACAGCTAAGCAAAGTTAGCAACACAAAAAATGGCGGGAACTTTACAAATATCGAGATAAAATTTGTTAGTGGCCGACAGTCATCGCTAACAGCACCACACGTTAAGCCACATCCTTTTTTTAAATCACTTCAGTAGAAAAAAGAACTTATTATTAGTTTCTTAATTTCTTCATCATCAGTGATTTTTTTAAGTAAAGAGAAACTAGAAAAAGAGGGAAAAACAAAGAGAAAATGTAATTAGAAAGATTGAAATAGCATCCACTGATTGCAGCCACGTCTTTACTTACAACATGACATGTTAGAGTCAATGTCTGTTGGCAAAATATCACATGAGCCATCAGGCGGATGTCAGTGAAACGCTCAGAAAGTAATCATTGGATATACATCTCTACCTGATTCACTTTTGAGACCAACCTGATTCATTATGGCTGCATCTAATCATGTTTTTTATTAAACACCAACATGACTGGAACTCAGTCGATTTAGCAGATATTGAGCTAAAATGTTGTAGTTTAGAATCATGCTCAATACACACTCCAAGCACTAAAGACTTCAAAAGGTCTTAGTTTCAGGGTTCCCACGGGTCCTTGAAATCCTTGAAAGTTTGTGAATTTGAAAAAAAAAAGGATTTCAAGGCCCTGGAAAGTTTGTGAAAACAGCTAAAAATTACACTTGTCCTTGAAAGTCCTAAAAAGTTTTTTGAGGATTGAAATTCTCTATTCACATGACTGATTTTCATCATCTTTTTAAAAAATTCATTATAAAAAATATATATTTTAATTTATGTTTTAATTTAACCTAATTTACCTAATTTCCCTCTGGGATCAATAAAGTATTATTGAATAGAATTTAAATTTGAATTTGTGGTGGATAACTCAGGATTATGGTAAACTGGCGTCATTGTTTCTGACTCAACAACTTCTATGTTGTTCAGTTTTTCATTGAATTTACTTGATATTAAACCTGTTTATTGGTAACATTCTGCGGTAGCAGTAGGTAATTGCCGTTGCACGTGGTTCTTCAATTTGAAGAAACTGGTACTGGAAAGTCCTTGAATGGTCCTTGAATTTGATGTTGACCAAGGTGTGGGAACCCTGTAGTTTAAAACATGCAAGGTGGAAGCTGTTATGTAAACTTTTAAGAAGCTGAAGTTTGTTGCACCTCTGTGGGTCACAAAGCACAAACTTTTGAGTTTTGCGATGATTTACAGGAAGTTAAAAATGGCCACTACTAACATATTGCTGTAATCGTTTCCAAAAGCCATTGTTCTCTATGAACAAAAAGAATGTGGGTCATACATTGATAAGTTTAGATATTTGCTGGTTTTATTGTACATTTGTATTTTCTTGATGTGAGAATGTCGACACATGAAGATTTTTTTTTAAAAGTCAGTAGATCCTGTAGAAAACTGAACAAGAACGTGGAGAAATGTTTGAGTAAAGTGCTAGCTTTCTGTTAATAAGTTAAAAGCCAGTGACAATGAAAGTAAAACATTATTTTATTTAAAAAAAACCTGTCATTTAAAACCATTTGGGATTTTAAATGTGTTCTCCTGCTTCAAAGTTTACAGATTAAAACAGAAACGCCAATAAACAAATCCGATTTTGCATAAGGAAACCATAAACAAAAGTAGATCATGCTCATTTTCTTTTTTTATATATCTTTGGGTAAATTTCCAAAGTTTGTTTCCTCCCACTTTTCATCCCTCCTCCTTTTGCTTTCCATGTGAGTCAGTGCATATTTGTTTTCAAGCCACACATGCTTTAAAAGCAGACAAGCTTCCCACTTTCAAACAGACGAAACAAAGAAGCAGTCGAGAGCACAGCTCTACGAGACACATACAGAGAGAGAGAGAGAGAGAGAGAGAGATCACCGACTTCTACTTCAAGATGATGATCGACAACAAGGACTCTGGTGAGACATTTATTCTAATGCTTCCTAAACATTTGGGCTCATTTTCATTCTCTGTAAATGACAAGGTAGTTTTAGCTTAAAAAAAGTAAAAACTTAAACAGTTGTGTGTTTGATCACTATCAGGAATAAATGACACCTTGTGATATCTGGAAAACAAGCTGCACTTTACCTTTAGATTTGTTATGAAAGTGATGTATAAATTCGACCTGGAAAGGCAGAAGCACCGGAACTTAGTGATGGGCTGTAAATCAGACGATAAGCGCTTTAACGAGGAAGACTTCAAACACAGAGTGTCATTTGTGTTGTGAGTCAGAGAGCAGTAAAGTGTGCAGCTGGGAGATATCTGGAAACTGAGCGTTTTACTATAAATGACTTTGTCACTAATGAGTTAGAGGAATACATATGCTGTAAAGTCTGTGTTCCAGCTGTTCAATAAAGCAGCCCAACACAGCCTCCTTACTGGAACAAATTTAGCTGGTGCCAGGTAAATTCATCTCCAGTTAGCAAACAGTTAAAGATGAATCTTGTCTTAGAATATTGTGGTCCATTTGGTGCAACCAGCCTCTAAAACTAATTTGAATGTCTTTTTTCAGTCTGCAAGAAGACAGCAAAGCATTTTCAGGGAGTTGCTTCCTCTGTTAGGAAATGGCAGTAAACAGGAACAGTGGAGGCCAAGAAGCTGTCAGCAGGGTTGAACACTTTGTATGACTCGTAAAAGTGAAACTTGATTTGAGTTTGCTAGTTTCATTATTACCTGTTCACCATTTTGCAGATTTCTTGTAAACCAGAGCAGGTCTGAGTGTTATCATTAGGGGTAAAGATAAGGATAACATTGTGCCAAGTGGGCATGATTTGTCCTTGAGGATTAAAATATGGAGCTTCTGAATGTTGCTGTTGACGTTTTTGTGCAAATGTGGGCACGGTTGATCTCGCCACGGCAAGCGTTCTCACTGCCTCTGCTCTCCTCCAGGTTCTTCGCCAACGACGGTGCACAAGTGCAACTGGCGTTGCCTCGGTCCCTTGACCTTCCACGGACAGGTTGTGGGAAGCAAGATCCGCCTGAGCCAGGGGGGTCGGCTTGCTGAGAGGAACGAGGACACGTTCAGGGACGGCCTGGTGTTCAGCAACCGCCCAGTGAAACCTGACGAGAGGATTCGGTTCAGGGTTCATAGCTGCGTGTCCAGGTGGATGGGAGCGGTGCGCGTGGGCTTCACCAACGTGCCGCCGTCATCCAGATCGCAGCCTCTGCCTGGCATGGCCATCCCCGACCTGACCGGCGACTCCTCCCACTGGGCCGCTCCTGTGGATGAATCGCTCTGTCCTACAGGCTCTGTGCTGGAGTTCTGGGTCTCTAGTAGTGGTAAAATACTCTGTGCAGTCAACAACAAAGTCTTCAACCTCCTGTCAGGAGTGGACGTCAGCAAGCCGCTGTGGGCCATGATTGACGTCTACGGACAGACTTCCTCCATCTGCCTCCTGGGTGAGTGGAACACACCTAGCGTACATTTTGTTTGCCTGAGAGCACGATTTTCCTGTTCTTGCTTGACTTAGCCTTCCATTTGCATTGTACCAAGAAATCCCTGACTGACTGTTGAATGTCGCTCTGCTGCAGGTTCTGAGAAAAAGGGTTGGTTCCGCCATAAAACCTCCTGCCCTGCACCTGACGCTCTCACTATACCCTACACCAGTTTCAGACCCGATCATATAGACCTTGAAAACGGCGACGACTCAGTCTCCTGCCTGAACTTGGAAATCCCCTCAGGTATGAAGCACAATAAGATGGCTTGTAAAAGAAGAGGATAAAGCAATTATCTGACTGTAAACTGCCAGATTGTGATTTTAATCTCTCTCTCTCTCTCTCTCTCTCTCTCTCTCTCTCTCTCTCTCTCTCTCTCTCTCTCTCCACAGAAAGCTGTTGTGTGGTGTGCATGGTGCGAGAATCCACGTTCACGCTGCCTTGCGGCCACCGGTGTTTATGTCATCACTGCACCTCCAGAGTCCTGGAACAATTTGGGTTCTGTCCGCTCTGTCGAAAGGAAATCATCGTTTCCTCTTGAGCTGATTGAACGCTAAAGTGTCAAACTACTCAAAGACTGTAGCAAAAAAAAAAGAAAAAGAAAAAAAGGACAGTGAAATGAATGTGTCCTGTGTTTCCTGGTATAGTTGGGATTATTGTAGCCACAATGTCCCAGATTGAAGTAAAACCAGGACAACCCTCCCCTTTGCAGCTGCAACTGATGCTGCAAACCTAGGTCTGGGTCCCTGTACCACATGCGGATTAGGTTTGCGTGGCAGACAGAGGTTAAAGGCCTCACCGTCCTGTTTTCTGAGGGTGCTTGTCTCTCTCATCTTTTCCAAGGCGGGACCAAAAAGACCTTTGGTTGGGTCATAGGCTGCATCCATGACCTCTGCCTTCTGAGAGTCCCCCAAGCCTGAGAGGTTCAGCCACAGGGCCCTTTCACCGGCGACAGTGAGCCCCATGACTCGCCCGCTGCCCTGGACAGCTCCTCTGGATGAGCGCAGGATGAGATCATTCACAACACAAATTTCATCCCACAAAGCAGGGTTAGGTGATCCTGAGTCCAGCTGGCAGCCTATCTCCTCCAAGATTTCAGCTTGATATGCAGATAACAGTGTGACAGCTTTAAGAGCACATACATACGGCCCTGCATATGTGTACACTCTCTGATAAATCGACGCCGTGAGGCGGTCTGATTTAGATGGGAGAGGAATATTGGTGGATGCTGAAAGTGATCTGTGGTTAGGATGGATGTGGTATGCCACTGAGGGCTCCACAGCTGGGGGTTTGGTCATAACTCAAAGTAATGCTAGCTCCCCTTGATGCGTTAGCTAATGTTACAACTGACACCGTTCGGTTACTTAAAACCGAGCAGTAGCGGGAGCAGCTCGCCTTAACGCGGTCACTGCTCCTGAGTGTAACCAAAAGATACTTCTCACGAAGTATTACTCAGCACGAGTCCAAAGCTGAAGCCAGGAACTGTGTTCAGCGACGTACTCCTTAAGCTAACCTAGCTAGCCTGAAAATGCTGAGGGAGCTTGTTTGTAGTTTCTCACAGGAAGAAAGCGAGAATGAGTTGGGAGTGGTCAGTTGACCGTGGTATTACTGTATATGGGAGTGGAGCCCTGAGCACGGCTCAACCTGTCAGTCTCAGACAGACGTAATGTCATTGGTGCTTCCGTAGATGGTCACGCACCAAACGAAGTTAGAAAAAGAACTGCACTTTTATTGTAAATATAATCAACAACGAAATTGTTTTTTTTGCACTCATGAAAGCTGGTTATTTATGTAAAAAAATGTTAATAAAAATACATGTTTATATGTCTTAATTGCATTTTCTGGAAGTAAATTTGTATATGTGATTTTTTTATTGTTACCTTTGAATAAATGGATAAACTGCATTCAGTTCAAGGAAGATGTTTACATTTTTTATTTATTTAATTTTAGCTGAATAGTTTGTTATAATACATCTGATAAAATGTGTATGAGTTTAAAGTTTACTAATGTTTATGATATAGTATAATTAATACAGAACAATACAGTGCAGTACACAATACAACATTTTACAATTAAATAGTTGAAATACAATACGATATTTTGTTACAATTGTGTACAATTGTGTTACATTTCAATACATTATGATACCATTTATATTGTCTTGTCCTTTCACAATAAGATCATCTTAGAAACCAAAACATTACACAACTAGAAGCACTTGGAGAGTGTAAACCTCCACCAAGACCAATTTCCCCCATCCTGTAATCGAGTTAATGCACAAAAGCTGAGAAGGAAACACATTTGCCGAATAAGATCTGACGTATCCTGATGCATCTCAGTAATCCAGGTAAAAAATCAAAAAGAAAAAATATTGTATAGGTCTTCTGGACGGGTTCTTCTCTAATGAAACGTTTCGTCTCTYCTCCAAGAGACTTCTTCAGTCTGAGAGTTTCAGGCAAAATTCAGGCTTTTGTGATGTGACTGATACATCACATGGCTATTGTTGACACCTAATTAACACTTATTGTTAACAGGGGGTGGAGTGATACTGGCAATAGTCGCACTGTAGGAGGAGGACAATTGAAAACGTTGGCCTCCACCTCTGTTTAATGATCTGACGTAGATCTGACGAAGTGAACATTTAAGCAGGCAGTATGCACAGGATTTCTTCCTGGTGGAGACCAATGTGAAAAAAAAAAAGTCTGACTCTTCACCCGACGTTATTCATCGTCAAACTGGTGTCGGATTAAGCTCCTAAGTTTTCATCAGTCACATTTCACCATGTAAAACGTCTGTTTTATCCCCTTTTATGAGTTTGTAATGGTTTGACTCTCTTTATAAAGCGCTTCCTGGTACAGTCGACTCATGAAGCGAGTGTTTTTAAAAAAAAAAAATTTAAATTAATTTATTTTTTGAAGCAAGTGACTGAAGCAAAATACAGCGTGAGCGTTTTCAGCACAAACACTCCCACGAACTTCAGAGCAAACACAGAACAAAGTTCTTATAAGGAGCGGGTACCAGGTTGATCAGCTGTACCGGACAGTGCAGGTTCGGCTCGGCTGCAGCAGGACCCTCCTCCCGCCGTCAGTGTCGTTATTCCCGCAACGTGAAGAGAATCGTATTTCTTTTTGTATGTCTCCAGACAGCATGTGACATCACCAGAAGCAGTTGATAACAGAACAAACACAACTCTCCTGATAGTAGGCATACCTGGATGTGTAGTCCCAGCGAGTTAGCGACTTGTACTTCCTGTTTCCTACAGGCATGTGTCTGACGTAAAGACACTGTGTAGCCTGGCGGATTCGCTCAAATTAACCCTTTGATGTCTGGGGTCTAAATGGCCGTTTTTGACTGACTTTGAATTTACCTCTATATTTTTGCTTTAAAAACTATTTACCTTATGTTTGGTATCATTATTTTCAGCACAACCTCAGCTTTATGATTTTATAGTGTTTTTTATTTTTATTTTGACAAACTGCATTATCACAGTGAACCAAAAAAAAAAAAATAAACACAAAAAACAAAACCCGAGTGGGAAAATTTTGGCTATTTTTATTATAAAAGTCACAAAAATGTTTAACGAACAATTTTTCTAACCTATAATGAAAATCTATAGTGTAAATTTCATAAACGTGTACAAATTTAGCAAAAAACAAAATTGTATCCATGTTTTTACATTAAACTGTGTGCAAACTCCCAGGCGTTTTTACAACAATTTACAAAATGTGTCATGACTCCTCCACAAATTCTCTCCAACCTTACAATGACTCGTGTTTTTTTAAATTTTATTTTACAACCACTTCAAAAACGTGTGACTGACTCAATCAAACAATCTCTTAGAGCTGGGCGATATGATCAAAATTTTATATCACGGTATTTTCAACATTTTCTCAGGTTTCACTGTATTTTTCTTTTCATCACAGCTCAGCTGATAATAAAATGTACAAACCCTGCTTATTGACTTTTTTCTTTTACCGTACCTCTGTCTGTGTCTCTGTTTCCCTCCTCTGTGTCTGTTCTTCTCTGACTGGTGGTTGGAGACAGTAGTCATGCATTTTGGTCCAGTCGTGAAGGAGGAGGGTTAAAAGATTATGATCGGGTTTATTGTTTTATGTTATTTATTAAAGCTTATCAGCACGACTCACCTTGCACACCAGTCAATTCTAACTCCGCTACGAACTACTTCCTGCAGGCTTTTCACAATAGAACCACGTTAAGTCTCCATCAGCATAACGTCTCCATATTAACTAACCGTGTTAAATCTAACTGCACGTCACTGAAGAGGTGTTTACTACATTCAGTGACGGTGAAAACGGGATTTTTTTTAAACATCAGTCAATATAAGCAGCAGAATCGTCACCTGCGGCTGCAACTAGAAACATTAGCATGCTAACGCACATAGCGGTGCAGGAAGGAAAAATGTCCTCCGGGAAACAACGGTTCGCTGGCGGCCGCGACGAAACGTTCTGCTTTTTAAACCAGAATGTCCGGTATTCAAAAAATTCATATCATAACAAAAATAAAAACCGGTATCCGGTACAAAACGGTATACCGCTCAGCACTACAATCTCTCCAACCTTACAATGTCTCGTGTTTTTTTTTTTTTATTTTATTTTACAACTATTTAAAAAAATGTGTGACAATGTCTCAATCATAAAATCTCTCCAACCTTATGTCTCATATTTTTGTTTTTACAACCATTAGTCCTTAATAATGGTAGTTGAAATATAGACTAATAGATCAGGAGACCCAATGATTTATGTAACTCCTCTGTGTCTATTTGAACCCATTTATGTTTTTTTCCCACTAGCTTTTTTTTAAGCATGTTTGCTGGTGTTATCACAGATGGTCTTGACTGTCTCAGAAGAAAAAAAAACAACAAAAAAAGGTATTTTGGACTGTGGGGGAACAGAAAATCTGCACTCCTGGTGGTCTCCTAGGCTGAAAACGGCTGAACAACGGGGCTGTGTCTGCTTTCTTTTTGATGTCCCATCACCTGTTTCAGCTGCTGTCTCTGCTGCTGCAGCCAGCAGGGATCTGGTTCTGGTCCGAATTCGTTGTGGGCCTCCTCTTCCCATGGAGATCAAATCAGCTTGTATAATCATGTGGTGCAGTTTGCTTCTATTACGATTATAATATTTTACATATTCCATACCAAACAAACAAACAAACAAACAAAAAAACAACTAACCTCCGAGCCTTAAGTCCACCGCACCAGCACGCCGTGTTGCTCCTCTTCCTTGTTTCTTCATCTCAGCTCAACTCAGCACTCAGAGCTTCCTCCACAGTCAAATGACGTCTCATTTTGACACACAGACTAACACTACTACAAATACTGCACACACACTCACACACTCTAACACACGTCTGGTCTAAAAACTAACCCGCTACTAGCTTCCACAATGCCGAAATCAATCCGTCTTCGGTCAGTCTCCAAAACCTCTCCAGAAGCTTCTCTCCACTAGGTACTGACAAACTGTTTTGATTGGTTGTTTGGTAAATTTGGTGTGTTTGTGGAAATGGGAAAAATAAGTTTGATGGTGCAGTCACGCACTTCCTGGTCACAAAACGTTCTCTAAATGTGCACCAAATGCATAAAAATGCGCACATTATGGCAAAAATTATTCATCAATAAATCTGGTTTTATTTGGAAGTAAATAAAAAATAAAACTTTATAAAAACATTACTTTTATAAAGTTTGAAATCCGTGCTGTCCAACCAAGTTCAAATGAACACTGAAAGCTCACAGAAGCCCTGTGAAAGCATCACAGCTTTGCCGACCTCAGAGGGTTAAAAGAAAAAAAATCCTGTATCCATGATCCAGAACATCACCAAAATGTATTGGTGTGTTCCTTGGTCCAGTACCCACATGTAGTAAAAATGTCATGACAATCCGTCCACACGTTTTTGAGTAATTTTGTCCACCGACAGACAGAACGACAGACAGACATACACAACCGAAAACATTACCTCCTCCCCTGGCGGAGGTAATAAAACAAAAATCTATCAATGCCCATATTTTTTTAAACTGTGTTTCCAAACTGAGATAGTTTTTGTTGATTGTTTGGATGCAGGCAGATTACTGGATTACTGACTGACATAAAACATGCTGCTTCAGTCAAACTGAAAGTAATATTCTTTTCACTGTAGATGCACAACTGATAACAAAACCCAGCAAATCCTTGGTCAGGAGGTAAACAACAAACAAAAAAGTTATATATCAATAAAGTTATCTAATCTGAACTGCCAATAAATGAACACAAAGGTTTATGTGATCATTAAGGTCTCTCGTTTGTCCTTAAATGTGAAAGCTTCCAGTTTCATTTTGACTTATTTACAGTTGATTTCGTTTTGACTGCTCTGGTTATATTTTTACAGCAAAGTAAACGATTAACAAAATGTGCTAAAATCAATCTGAATACGACGGGAGGGTTGTTTTTTTTAAACCTTGGAACCCCAAATTGTTGCTGATTCTGCAGGAAACAATCTGCATCAGCATCCAAAGGTTTGAATAAGATTGCTTTGTTATTTTTGTGTTTAATCCAAAAGTGAAAGAGCTCGTGTTGTCTCTGATGGCTGGTTTGATCCACGTGAGTTAAACACCCGCACGTTGTTTTGAGGATTTCATTGTTTATAATTTTTGTAGAGGGTGTCACGAGGTGTGTTCAGTGGCGGAAATTTATTTCTTTGGAGTTCTCATTTTCTAATTTTAGCCAGACTTTTCATGCGAATAGTGAAAAGATGTAACCTCCCAAAAAGGTTCCAGTTTCTTACAAACGATACTTATCATTGTAACTTGACTGGTTGAGCGAGTTTTAAAGTGGAATATTTTTGCACAGTGCCAGGATGCCAGCCAACTCACTTTGAACCTTTGCATGAAATAATAATTGATGGTTGGGTTTCGTTATTTTAAT